GCTGGAGATGAAAGATGTGCTGAGAAACCTAAAGACAAATTACAACTGTGGACGTAAAGGCTGCAGAAATGAGACGAGAAGCTCAACACTCTGACGCGTTAATAGGCGTTTCACAGCTCAAACACACTGCAAACGATTCTCTTTAATCCCCGTGTTCTTCCTCTAATGACAGTTTCTGCTTTATTGAGTTTTATGTGTTACAGAATGGTACAAAATGTGATCAGCAGCTGTCTTTTAATCCAGGGCTGCTTTTCCCTCTGAGGCCCTGGATCTCCCATCAGGGAACTGCCCGTGTGGTGTAAAGAGCATTTTAAAGTCTTGTTTTAACTGTGATTATTCTTATAAAAGCACAGATTTAATTTACAACCATTTTGCCTATCACTTTGTTTGATTATGATCAAGCATTTCTTTTTTAAAAAGTAGTTGTTTGTTTTATTACGCAAGATATTGAACTAAACTTCCCTTTTTGGGTAAAGTTTATCAGATATATCTGACTAAAAAGCCCCATTTCATACACAAGGGTGCGTGAAGTTAACAGTTTTAAGGAGCTAAATGAAAGTCATTCATTACGAATGCTCCCGATTAACCCCTATGTAACGACAGTTTCTGGTTTATTGAGTTTAATGCGATACAGAATGGGACAAAATGTGATCAACAACTCTCTTTTAATCCAGGGCTGCTTCCCTGATTCTCCCATCAGGCCGCTGTGTTTTAGAGGGAACTGCCTATTCTCTGTGTAAAGAGCATTTTTAAGTCTTGTTTTAACTGTGATTAGTCTTATAAAAGTACCGATTTCATTTACAACCATTTTGCCTATCACTTTAATGTTCGATTATGATCAAGCATTTCTCTTTTAAAAGTAGTCATTTGTTTTATTATGCAAGAAATGAACTAAACTTGCCCTTTTGGGTAAAGTTTATCCGATATATCTGTGTTTTAGAGGAAACTGCCTGGCTAAAGAGCCTGTATTTGAGCTCCGGAGCCTGTATGTGTGCTAATAATAATCCCGTGGATCCAGCTGACTTACCCATTATCCCGTATGTGTGTGTCCATGTCATAATTTGGCCTTCTCGTTGATTACATAACGGCACACGAGGTCTCTGTGTCGTAATCTGACAAATTTCGTAATCTGGCGGATTGCTGGAATCCGGCCGGGTCGTAGATCTGTTGAACGCTTCTGTTTCCCATTTCAGAGCGTTTGGATTTCCAGCCTCTCCTGTACGGACACCCCCACGTTCTGTGGGGTTAAGGGTTGTCAAAAGTATCGATACTAAAACGTTGTATCCGGATATAATACTCATTTTCAAAAGTATTGACACTGTACGGTATTGTTTATTCTCATTAACGTGACGTTAGCTTTGAATTGCTAGCTGTGGCTAATGGCTAATAATAACACGCCAACATTATTCAAGTCTGTCTGGCTGCAGACTGCAGGAAGCCAAGGATGGATATCCAACTCCCCCATATCCAAGTCGGCCATTTTTATTAGGTCAACAATAGGAAGATCCCAGGCAAGAAAATCCTAATTGCTTCATGGCAATATAGACATTAATTTTAAAATAGTGAAATTAATTTTGCAAGTTGGTATCGAGTTGAACATTTTAGTATTGCGACAACCCTATTGGTTTGTACAATAAGTCCAAACAAGTTTAACCAAAAATGTTTTGTTTCTCACAATTATGAAAGGTGGATGGTCAGGGTTAGGATTAGTGTAATTAATTTGGGCCACCGGCCACCATAACATCAGTAACAGGTCAGTTTGAAATGAAAGACCTGTCGAAATTCAGTTAATTTTTGGGGTCTTTGTTTTTATCCTTGTGGTATCGAGTATTGAATATCTTCCTGAGTATCGGTATCGAGTTGAAAATTTTAGTATTGCGACAACCCTATTGGTTTGTACAATAAGTCCAACCAAGTTTAACCCAAAATATTTATATCTCACAACTATGAAGGGTTAGGATTAGGGTCATTAATGTGGGCCACCATAACTTCAGTAACAGGTCAGTTTGAAACCAAAGACACTAACCTGTCAAAATTCTGTTAAATTTGGGGGTCTTTGTTTTTATCGAGGTATCGAATATTTTCCTGAGTATCGGTATCGAGTTGAATATTTTAGTATTGCGACAACCCTATAGATTTGTACAATAAGTCCAAACAAGTTTAACCAAAAATGTTTTGTTTCTCACAATTATGAAAGGTGGATGGTCAGGGTTAGGATTAGTGTAATTAATTTGGGCCACCATAACATCAGTAACAGGTCAGTTTGAAACCAAAGACACTAACCTGTCCAAACTCTGTTAAATTTGGGGTCTTTGTTTTTATCCTTGTGGTATCGAGTACTGAATATTTTCCTTTTATCGGTATCGAGTTGAACAGCCCTGGTCGGGGTCCTGACGTCTCCTGTTAAATTTCGGGGTCTTTGTTTTCAACCTTGTGGTATCAAGTATCGAATATTTTTTCCTCTTCTCTTCCAGGGGGGATGTCCCCAGGCAGCCGCCCGTCGGGCCCCGAGAAGTGTCCGCTGATGGGAACTCCCGCTCCGCCATGAGTGCTCGCGATGCCGTCGGCGGCCTCGCCGTTGCCATGGGGACGCTGGGCCGCCGGCAGCGCCTGGAGAACTCGGAGTTCACGGTGCGCGTGTACCCGGGGGCCCTGGCGGAGGGCACGATCTACTGCCCCATCAGCGCCCGCAAGAGCACCACGGCGGCGGAGGCCATCGAGCGCGTGCTGGAGCGGCTGCGGCTGGACCGCGCGCGCTGCTACGTGCTCGCCGAGGTCAAGGAGTTCGGCGGCGAGGAGTGGATCCTGAACCCGGGCGACTGCCCCGTGCAGAGGATGCTTCTGTGGCCGCGCGGAGCCCTGGAGCCAACGACCAGTTCCACCACTACCTCCGACTACCGGTTCCTGCTCCGCCAGAAGAACCTGGACGGCTCCATCCACTATGGCGGCAGCCTCCAGATGTGGCTGAGGGTCACCGAGGAGCGGCGCCGAATGGTGGAGCGCGGCCTCTTGCCGCCGCCGAGGCCGGTTGCCCACGGCGACCACGCGGACCTGTGCGGCCTGCCGCAGCTCAGCGAGCGCGCGCTGCTGGACAACCTGCGCGCGCGCTTCCACCAGGAGAAGATCTACACCTACGTGGGCAGCATCCTCATCGTCATCAACCCCTTCCGGTTCCTGCCCATCTACAACCCGAAGTACGTGAAGATGTACGACGACCACTCGCTGGGAGACCTGGAGCCGCACATCTACGCCGTGGCCGACGTGGCGTACCACGCCATGCTGCAGCGCCAGAGCAACCAGTGCATCGTCATATCCGGGGAGAGCGGCTCCGGGAAGACGCAGAGCACCAACTTCCTCATCCACCACCTCACCGCGCTCAGCCAGAAAGGGTTCGCCAGCGGGGTGGAGCAGATAATCCTGGGGGCGGGGCCAGTCCTGGAGGTGAGTGGAAGGAAGGCCCATGATGATGTTTATGTTTATGTTTATGCATTTGGCAGTAAGTCGCTTTTATCCAAAGCGACTTACAGAGTAGACACAATATTACAGTTATCATCAATATGACAATAAGCTATACAGTGGGGGAAATAAGTATTTGACCACCTGCTGATTTTGCAGGTTTGCCCACTTATAAAGAATGCTTATTTTTATCAATTTTTATAAATTCATATGATGTGATTTTCTGGAATTTTCTTTGGGATTCTGTCTTTCACTGTTAGAATGTACATATGATTAAAGTTATAGATCGTTGCATTCTTTGTAAGTGGGCAAACCTGCTAAATCAGCAAGGGGTCAAATACTTATCTCCCCCACTGTACAGTATATAGCACTTTTCTAGTCAAAAAGACCACTCAAAGCTCTATACACTACATGTTATTCACCATTCATCTGGTTGGGGACACCAAATGCAACCAGTTGGAAATTGGGGGTTCAGAGCCTTGCCCAAGGGCTCTTCCACACGTGGTCTGGAGGTTCTGACTCTGGGCCCCATCAGGAGACCAGAACCTGGTTTAGTTCT